TGAGTGTTTTTGGCGATGCCCTGTTTTCGATAAGTTTCGATTTGTATTTGCATCCAGGTGACAGTACAGTAGCACTTCAATATAATAATTGCATATTGTATCCTACTTCAGTGTGTTTAAATTTATTTGTTTTTAATTCGAACAAAATATCAGTAGCATGAGAATACAATATGTATCTTCGAAGTTTGCAACGTAAGCACATTATTTTGCAAGTGACGTCGGCAATGTTGATAATTATTTGGTACAGGGTCTGTCTACTAAAATTGAAATATACCGGTAGGTGGTGCACAAATTAATGACGATTGTTAATGTATGACAACTTGAATTGTATTTAGTTTGTTTGTTACTCTTTGGTTTGTTCCTTTCACACACTTTAATCGCACGCACAAACTCTGTGAACGCGTGCGTGTTAAAACGTAAGTGTGTGAACAGAATATACCAATGAGCAAATGCACCGTGGGATTTGGTAACATTGTGTGTAGGCCTATGTAGAATTAACGTTTTATCGATGTTTGGGTTGTTAAACTTGATTTTCTGACGTTATCTTGACGATGTAGTCTAAATCACTATTGATTAATTTGATGACGTCATACGGCTACCAGGGCATTGCTGAGAGATGACGACAAGGCGCACCGATCTGTGTTATCATTTATCATATGTTTTCTATCGAAACCTTTGCAATAGCTGTCAAGTTTTCATCTGATCACTCAAACAGTTGGAAAATGGGGCTATCTAAATTTTAAATTTTGCTACCAAGTGGAGTGAAGGGCGAAGCCAGCGTGGAGTAGGACCTGAAGCGGAATTTTACACATTATCGCTGTGTATCCATTAATCTCAATTGATCGAAGATATATTTGCTGATTTTTTTTTCTCCATCATATTGATATGGTTTAAATAATCTCGTATTACAGGGTAGGCCTATATAATGCTCCGTGTATCTTCAGCAATTATAAGATGATCCGAAACTTGATGCTCGCCAATGACTACTCGAAATACCTTAGAGTTATCACGTGTGCCTTTTTTTCACTCTTTCGTGTCTATGTTTTCGCTTTGACAGTATAATAAAAAAAAATATAGGCCTACATGTATATATGCCTAATAGTATTTTACATGCAATCCTATATGTTATAATAAAATTTATTATATATATTAATATTATAGGCTTATATTATCTATATGTTACATAGTCTAGGCCTACCTGTATACTATAGGCATATGTTATATAACGAATTTACAATTTATATTGGATATAAGAATACATGTAAAGAAATAACCCACTAGGCCATTGCTTCGTTGGGAATTTAAATTAGAATAACACAACTGATCATCACACTCTTTTGCGCAGGTGTAGTCGAACAGCACTAGTTCTTAGACACCGCAACTAACCGCAATTGTCAACACAAAAATGAGGAATATGCGACAGACTCCTGATTTATTATTTGGAAATTCGAATCAGTTTGGAGGAAACTAGTTGTAACTCGTGTTCGTATAAAAAGTGCGCGTAACAGTACTGGTTCGCTTAACTGTCGTCAATTATATAATACGCCCTCATCTTAAAAATTTGAAACTTCAAAACTGGTGCAATTACACCCATGCACTCTCGCAGGATCCTCTTCTTTAACGTTGGCAATATATTATTCTTATTTTTATTATTATTAATATACGTTTATTGTGTTTTGCATTGTCAACAGAGGTGATGATTGATTGATTGCTTGATTGATTGATATACTCCCATATGGCGATTCTTATACTAAATTTAAAATATTACTAATTACTAATACTAAGATTATGCCTAATAAATCCAGTAATAGTAACTGTAGCCTCGTGAAAGCAATAGAAATAGCAGTTGCAATAAATATATTCAAAGCAGTAGCAGTGGTAATTAGCAAAAGCAATGACAATAGCAATAGTAATAGTAGGCATAATAGTAATAGTTAATAAAGATGTTGTAATGTAGTAATAGAAATGTAATGGTCATACTGCAGTAATAATGGTTGTATATGTAATAGTATTATTATTGAAGATGATAATGATGATGATGATGAGGAGGAGGACGAGGATGGCGATGACGACGACAACAGTGATGCAATGATGATTTACGAAAGAGGATGATGATGATAATGACAATAACGAAGACGGTAATGATGCAATAATTGTTAGGATGATTTAGGCTGATTTTAAGATCGTGGTAGAAATGATGATGATAGTGATGATGAGTGGTTTTGGTCATGGTAGTGGTGAAGGGTGGTTGTGGTCATAGTTGCGATGATTAGGCGAAATTGCGGTGGTCTTGATGGTCGGTAGTGGCAAACATAACAGCAATGCCGTAGCCAGCTATTGGGACAGTTGGGAGAGTCCCACACAATTTTTCTAATAAAGAATGGGTCCACATTTTTAAAAATGAGTCTAAATTATGCAGTTTTATGCATAAATG